TTTGCTAAAATGTTGTGATCGATCAGATCAAACGCCTTTCTGTAATCGTATAATATAATCCTTACTGCAGCACTAGAACCATCTGTCGCTTTCGGCCAACGATGAACCATTTAAATCATCGCTTGTATTGTTGAAGATTTAGGGATTTAGATTCTCCAATTTCATGCAACACAGGTCATAATGTCTTGATCACTTTCGTCCAGCCTCAGTGGCGCCGCCAGCTCGATAATTGGGGGGGGGGGGCGAATATTCATATCTTCGTGTTCTGCATTATTAACTTCTTTTGAAATCCATTGTTTTTATGGTCTGTGAACACAAATATATGAATATTCGCCCCCCCCCCAATTATCGCGCTGGCGGCGCCACTGTCCAGCCTACTCTTTTCACCTTCTTGATCTTTCTCGTTATAGACTATATCTTATAAAGTCATGTTTATAAAATACTGTTTTAGATATTGTACTATTTTTACAATAATCGATGTGATCTCATGATCTGTTCTAGAACCACGTGAACTTAAATTTTAGGACCCTCCCTTATGAAAATTATGGCTTAAATTTTTATTACCCTCCCTTTTCAATGGTTCAGTTTTGAATGACCCACTCTTTTGAAGGGCTAAAAAAATAAGACCCTCCCCTTTCTACACCCCCCCCCCCCCGTGGTAATTTCTGACAAGTCCCTAAGTACCTTTTGAATTGTTGTTTCGCTCAAGGGTAGTGATGACGGACTCAGACTGGAAATACTAATACATTCATTGGAATGGCGAACATATCCTAATGGAGATCCATAGTATGGACACTTGTCGTAAGTTGTGCATCTAAAAAATATGTGAATATTAGTAAAAAATAACAAAATACATGAACAAAACTGTTCAATTATGGTTAGCCAAGAACAGTGTAATCTTTTTTTGTCCAGTTATTTACACAAAATTTTCATGAACAGATTTTCTTCACTTTGTTTTATTTTTTTCATCTATTCTATAATAAATAATAGCATGAATACTAGTGCAATTTGGAAGAACAAGCACTTGCAAGTTTTAGCAAAGATCCTCATGGTTATTTGATCCCAGGCGTATTTAGAAATTATATAAAATACTACAATCATGTCCTATTTATATTTCAAGGGCCTAAAATAAGGAATTCTATTGATAATGCCAAGACTTCATCTCTAAAAATCTGAAGGGTTAAAAAAGGAGCTACTACTTATGGTACCTAAAGAAATATTTTGCAAGTTTTTGTTTGTCTCTATAGGTGATGTGCAACCACTCCCGTGTGATTCAAGGACAAAGAGATTTCCGCCATGTTGGATGATATTTTCGGACATTGCTCATGTTTTTGAATGGATGAAAGAAAATAGATTGCAGATGCATCCATCTAAATGTAAAATTGGCTCCACGCACAATCTTAATAAATTAGGGTGTGAAGAGACTATTATGGTAAATACAAAACCCATACCACGAATCAGTACACAAATGTGTCTGGGAGTAAAACTCGATGAAAATTTGAATTGGGACAGTCATATTACATTGATATGCAAGAAAGTAAGTGCAGCTATTGGCGTTATGAGACGTATGAAACCTTTTGTTCCGATGCATACATTAGAATCTGTTTATAAAAGCTTGGTACCGCCATACTTTGATTATTGTTCCCCTTTGTGGGACACTTGTGGCAAGTTGTTAAGAGATAAGCTCCAAAAATTTCAATCCCGGGCGGCGAGGGTTGTAACGGGTGCTAATTATGAGTCTCGGTCGGCTGATGTTCTTAACTCACTCTCGTGGGACACTCTTGAAAATAGACGTTCCGGTGCCAAGTCAGTATTGATGTATAAAATACTTAATGACCAGACTGCGCCGGCTCTTCGGGGGTCTTTTGTGGGAAGAGAAATGGATCAAACTAATTACAATCTCCGCAATACTGCAACAGACCTTACATTACATAAGCCAAAAAGAGAATTTAAAAAAAAAGCTTTAAATATAGTGGTGCTTTGCACTGGAATCAGCTCCCAAATGAAGCGAAACTAGCAAGTGCGCTTCACTCGTTTAGATTAAATGTTGGATAGTGACATGCATACATTTGTATATAGAAAAGTGTGTATATATAGTATTTAGATACAGTTATTTATTTATTTATTTTCAAACATTTTTAATATTTAACACGCCCCTCATGGAAATCAGCCCAGAGTTGATGGGGCTAGCGTGTCCCTTTTTGTTAATTTTAAATAAAGTGTTGCCCGCCTGCCATATTTGTATTGCAAACAAGCAAAATCCCTTGTCAATGTTATCCAACATGGCAACGGTGACGTAACTTGCACACGACCTATAATATTGTATGTAAAATTTGCTTCTCTATGTTATTAGTGTTTGTCTTTTCTTACATCACTTTTTTTTCGACCGACCAATCAATTTGATAATTCAAACTTTTTCCAGTGTGTATGGTGGCCTGGCTTCGATAAGGAATTTTGTTTTTGTTAGAATAAAGAGTTGCTGTTGTCGCCGCTGTTGTCGCCGCTGTTGTCGCCGCTGTTGTCGCCGCTTTGGTCGCCGCTGTTGTCGCGGTCGTCGTCGTCGTTGTTGTCATCGTCGTCGTTGTTGTCATCGTCGTCGTTGTTGTTGTTGTTGTTGTTGTTGTTGTTGTTGTTGTTGTTGTTGTTGTTGTTGTTGTTGTTGTTGTTGTTGTTGTTGTTGTTGTTGTTGTTGTTGTTGTTGTTGTTGTTTACTCACTGTGAAACTCCAAAGGACGGACGGTCCTAGGCTATAGGTCAGAATTCAGAAACCAACGATTAATGAGTCAGACGTAGAATTTACCAAGGAAGATGTTCTGGAGCCCTCTCTATGGATGTCCTACATAGGGTGGGGCATGATTTAACATAATAGTACAGAAAGTCATCTGTATCTTGGAAATATTGAATACTAACGTTGCATGCAGTGTACACCAGCCACAGTATGGATCACCTCCTTTAACACAACTTTCACATGATGTTCGATTGCCACATTCCTCCACAGGAATTTTTAAAACCTAAAAAATACAAAAATAAAACACATTGATAACAATAACTGACTCGTTCCAAGTTGCTCGCGTTGGATGATGGAAAACGCCTAACCCGCGAACATGCATACCGTATTCTCCGGTTCTTATTATAGTAACCATTATCATAGTAGTAAATAAAACACTGTCTTGTAATTCCCGTGAAGGAATTTGTATATCTGATACAAAATCCTGCTTTTCTCACCAAATATCATTCATGTCTTTAAGATTATAGAAGAATACAACATGCAGTAGGTCATGTTTGGCATGATCAACACATTATAAACTACCACACAAAGTTCATTGTTGGCGAGCAAAACTGAAACTATGATATTCTGGCGGGTACACGCCCCGGAAATTGAACACACTTAACCAACAATCTAAAATGCTAGCAAACACCCTGGATCAAAGTTTTACTTCATGAGTAAGTTGATAGGTACTGTATATGATTAAAGTGAGAGTTTCATTATTTTAAAATTTCAATAATTAAAAGTGTTTTACCTTATCCGGAGATAAAAGATAAGCACCTTCCCCAATACGATCAAACTTCGCAGACAAAATTCCAGATCCAGGTATTGTATTTGAAGTTTCGTACCTTCGCCCAGATGAATTGGAATAAATGACAAACTAAATAAAAGCAAATACTTTGTTCCAAAGCTGAGACAGACAGTATAGAGGGGCGAGAATTAACCGTCTGAAGCAAATTTTTCGACTCCAAATATTTCGAAAAGTGTTCAGCACTGATTGGGAAACATCATTAATTGTTTATCATGTGGTAGCCGTGATACAATATTCACACACGTTTTCTGGAATGTTTACCCTGGTGACAGAGGCTAGTTATTTAACATCCATTAGGTGTTTTTGAGTGAGCAAATATTAAATTAAAGGTCTTGTCAAAATTGTGTAATTCGTTTGTAGAGTCGCACACATGAACGTGAATAATAAGATGTTTAACTTCAGAATAATTTAACTTCAGGTTTGACTCTTGTTTAATAAGAAGTTATTATTATATGGCAAGCATCACTTCTGGTGAAATGGCGGACTGTGATTGGCTGAGAAGCACTTTCAGCGGTCAACTATTCTCCCGTAATGCATAGACCGGCGGTCCATTACGTAAAAACAAATGCGTGTATTTTAAAACAAAACAGCAAAATTAATTGAAACTATTAAACTGCGAATGGTTTTAAGCGGAAAGGAAGGATTACATTGGTAATTTTTGTTTTCTTCGACCAAATGTGTACCACGCTACTAATATGCATTTCAAATCATGCCTTTCTTGTTTGTTTCGAGTATAAATGCCTATAAATGCCATATAATAAACTTTTTATTAACCTCGCTTTTTTTATTAACCTCAGTCTTTTTGTACAAACCTCGCCCTACGGGCTCGGTCTGTACAAAAAACCTCGGTCCGATATTTCTCTGTCAAGACCTCGCGCTCGGTTAATAAGAAGTTATTATTATATGGCTTTTCAAAATTCTCTATTCTGATTGGTTGACAAGCGGTCCGTAAAACCCCATATCGGACCGTGGTCCGTATCTGGACCGGTGTCCCGGATGTCGTTTATTTGGGGGAAATTTTTGCAAACAAACAGAAAAAATTTTTGCTTTTTAAATTTCCAATTGTGCTTTACAGATAAAAATTTCAAACAACCAAATTGTACCATTCGCTCTCGTCGTATATGGCTGATAGCCGACTCGGTGCTACGCACATCGTCGGCTATCAGCTCATATACGACTCGAGCTCATGGTATAATTGTTAAATATTGGGAGATAATTTGTTCACCTCAAAATTCGGAATAGCAGGAATTATTGGACATTTCCGTCGGAATCCGAGGCAGTTCGGATGATTAAAGTGATGCAAAAGTTGTATTTTTATACAATTTTTTAGTTACCGAACGTTCTCATACCTTTCTGGACTTCCTAGAAAAAACGAGGTCAAAAACCCCAATAAAACGCTCAAAAAAAGAACTGCGATATTTACTCGCCCCAAGTCTCTTCTCTGTTAACCGCGCGAATTTTAGCGCATGCTCAGACAAAATTCCCACCTGTTCAATTGCAAGTCATGTAAGTGTACTATTTATAGGCAGTCCTAAGGAAATCGTAACGAATCATCAAATTAAGAACGACGCAATTTCAGTAAACTCTCAATGACTTGAATTGAATTGAATGGCACTGACTCAATGACATTATCAATACGCCAAAATAGAGGCTTTACTTACTGGTGCGGCCAAATCAAGAGTTGGAACCACTGACCTATACAACTACGGGAAATAATGCATCTATATTCCGTCAGTCAAACAAGTGTCCTGAAAAACATGGCGTCAAGATCCGCCATATTCTTGCGGATACCTTTTTGCCCCAAGCACTTTCTCCAGTAATTGTATAGCTCAGTGGTTGACACCCTGGCGCCTGGAGTCTAGATTCGACCTTAGATTGTTTGCGAGGTTTAAAAAGGAAACAATGGAAGTCAGTAAATTTTTTACTTCATTTCCCGAACAACTGAGATACTTATACACTGCATGCAGGTAAATAATATTATAAAAAGAAAAATAGATGTTTTATGCCGCTATACTTAATTATATATAGTGCTTAGAGTTTCAAATCTAAATACTAAAAATGCCAACGCACAAACATTTGCCAAAAGCGCAAGAGCTTTAAAACCTTTCGACCCACATACGCAATCCAAAAGAAAAATTGGTAGTAGTATATTAGGTTAACTTTACATTTCACTTTAAGTACAGTTTACTTTTAGTTTTTCTCAGCAGTATACAGATTGCTATAATACGTTATTATTTTTATTATATTTGCGTTGAGATCTTGGACCACTAGGTTGAGAGGTGGCCCAGGCCCATTCCCTATGCTAAGGAAGGATGTATATGTAATATGTAATATGTGATATGTGTATGTATAATACGACGTGCTTTCACTGCGTGGCTGTGAGATCTGCAAATGTTTGGAAATCTCAATTGATTCTCAATTGATTATTCTGACTTGTTTTCTATTATCGAAAAGCAAAAGATGTAACCAAACTATACAAAATTGTTTGGAATATTATCACATTTTCATCCTGAAACAGTTTTTTGTGGAAACAATCACTAAATAGAGGAAAAATTGGCTTGGTAAATGGTAGATCCTCAGTGCATGGGTAGATCCTACACTCGGATGGAGTAGAATATAGCTTGAGGCAGAGTGAGCAACAAATTTTACCAATTTGAAAATTATGATAGGATTTGTTTTTACCTTACTGAGCTTTCCATCTTTTGCACCAAGAAAAGCAATAATGTTTCCTCGGTAACTTGTTGTATCCATAGATGATATTGGACCACAATCACTACATGTCACAAGAGCTTCACTTTCGTATTTTATTGTTCCTGTCATTTTTTGATTTCTAGAATTTAGTGAACATGCAGCAGGCACTTCCTAGTGTGTAAAAAATAGATTTTAAAATATTAAGAATTCATAACCAACGAATCATCCTGGTAAAAGTGCATCACAAAATACAAATTCATGAGAATAAAAATTATAAAATGCTGGAAAATTATTATAAAATTTAAAGCAGACTGAATACTTACAACACTGCACGTCGAACCTTTAACATATTTAGAAAGAGGCAATGTGTTACTTTTAAAGCATTTCACGATATTCTCCCAGAAAAACTCGTTAATTTGTTTAAATGTGTATGTACACAAGGCAGACTGTGATGATATGCTTGATTTTTGAAATACCCCAATTAAAACTGCGTCATCATCATCTCCAGTGCTTCCAAACTTCTCAGCAAGTTCACCATCAGGTCGTACAACTTTTGCTGCTACAAGTTGCTCATAATTTATACCATCCTTGCCAACACATCGCAATGGTATTTCCATGTAAGTTTTAATTTCGGGATCGCCGCCAATTTGATATTTGTCACACAGTCTTGCTACATTAGTTCCATCCTTCATATTATGATTAAAGAAATATCTAAACTTTCCTACAATCACTGCAAGAATGTAATAAATCTTTAGTTCGCTTTCTGATGTCAATAAGATCTGTTTGGATTTGCCAATACATGGCTTTACTGTGCCACTGCACACAAACTGACCAGAATAAGCGGTGAAAGTATAATCTGTAGGTAGCTGTTCAGAGTCACCAATTCTTGTGCTAGCAATAAGGATTCCATTATTAGATTGATCTTCTAGCGCGATACTGCTATAATTTTGAATATTTGAAACAGCGCCAATAGTATTGTCAAGCACAGTATATGAAAATGAGTTCATATCATATGTTATACATATACCATACTTGTATGTTCCACATGCAAACAATCTCGGAGTACCTGTTAAATTCTCAATCATCAAAAGTTGATTCGCATTAGGATTCACAGTTTCACCTGGCTTGCATTTTTCTACAAGGCATGGTGTAGACACATTCTTAAGTTGTGTCAAATTTTTGTTCAGTTTATAAATATAGTTCACTCCACCAACAAAAACATCCCCAGTGTTGTTATCAATTACCAGATTTCTTAAGATTACATTTCCTGGTTGAAACACAAACTGTCCTGCAACAATCGTTGTGCAAGAAATCCAAGCAAACAGTTCATAAATAAACATCCTAAAAATAAACAAATACATGTACTAGTTTGTGTCATTGGGTCAAAGACTTGGTCATGACCTTCCGTTTCTCCATTTTTGACAGTTCAAATTTACGCAGCTGTTTCTTTGCAATGGCAAAATTTATCGAATTAAACAATACACTCTTCCGGAAAGTACGTCAAAATTTAGTACAGTGAGGGCGTTTTCAAGAAAACGTCAACAATTCTTTCAAACCATTAGGAAATGCAGTACGTTGAGAATGTAAAATGTTTACTCACGCTGTAAACTAAATACTGTACAGAGTGTATAAAAAAAACGGAGTCCACATTTTGTGCTTAATAACTTTCGGACTGCTACTTCTAATAAAACGGTTTTAGGCTTATTTTAAAGCCTGTTCATTTATCTTTCGAACAAATGGTCATCCGTGTCTTTAGTGCAAGTAATAACTGCACAGGAAAAAATTTAGTGAAACCTATCATGTTTAGATGCCGCTTAATTATACAAATTTACTGTGTTATTCCATAGTCGGTTGCAGTGTTTGAAGTTTCTTGTTCAAACTTTAATGTTCTTGTTGCCACATCGGAAAAACTAGTAAGAACTTGTTAAAAACATTCTAAAAGAGATTAGGTTGTTTTATTTATTTCAAAATCCTAAATTATTTCCAGAAATCATCAAAACAACCTTACGTCCATTCATCGTCCGAACGAGCACCATCGAATCGGGCCGTAATGTAAATATAAGCCCCGTTTACACTACGCTCAATACTTGGTACGGCACGGATAAAATTGGTACCCGTACCACTTTTTTGGTTCTTGGACTACTTAAATAGGTAGTCCAAGAACCAAAAAGTGGTACGGTACCAAAAATTGAGCGTAGTGTAAACGGGGCTTAGCTAAATAGGTAGTCCAAGAACCAAAAAAGTGGTACGGGTACCAATTTTATCCGTGCCGTACAAAAAATTGAGCGTATATGTAAACGGGGCTTAAATTAGCAAGTTGACGGCAAGCTAAAACACGCTTCAGCCGGTATTATAACGCATTTGAAGTCAGCAAGTGAATTTAAAATAGTGTATTGGAAGCCATTATTACTTGATTTTTACAAGCAATTGCCAAAATGCCTCAATTTGCCGTTTTGTTGACAAAATAAGTTATTTTCATCAAGTACCGGTTTGTTATTGCATCTCAAATTTTTGACTCTCCAATCGCAATCACTTAAAATATTATTATTCACGAACTTCTGGATTATATTTACGAAACAACCCACCGTTGAAAAGCTGAATGTCTAAGCTTTAAAATGAATATAAACCTGAACGTTTTGCTTTAATATTCGTTTCGAAATTTATATTTGAAGCGAGGACTCCGTTTTTTATGATACACCCTGTATACCAATGGATAAGAATACAGATGCACTACGCAATTGCTAAATATGTTGACAGAATCTCAGATTCTGAGTGATTACCACGAATTGGTGTAAACTGTTGTGGTGTCCCCGCCTCTTTTTATGTCTCATGTATATGAATTGTTGTGCTTGTATTGTGTACGTTTTTTGTCAAGGCGAAGCTAAATAAATAAATAAATAAATAAATAAAAAAGACTTGAAGTTCATAAAAACATTATATTCGAAACATTTTACCTTTACCAATATAAAGGTCGTCTGTAGAGAAAAATACCCTGAATCAATGAATTCATATAATCTAAACACATGGTAGTGGTAGAAAATGTCTGGTAGCAGCGCCGGCAGCGCCGGCGCTACCAGGAAATTTTAATGCAATATTTTTGCAAGAAATTTTCTTATACCTACTTACACCTTGTAGGAATTGTTTTGCATATAGTAAATTATACGGTTCGAGAAGTATTAATGAAAAGTCTTCACTAATATTTGGAGAACAAGTGTAAGGCCTGTTTCAAACGTCGCACTTCTCATGTGCCGAACGCATTAGAAACAATAGATAATGAGGCATTTCAGCTGATTCGGTGTAAAGTATAAAGAGTGAAGGTAACATCGGCACATGTGAAGCGCGACGTTTGAAACAGGCCTAATTTCCTATTAATATTATTTTATGGTCAACTTTACGAGCAATCAATGACAAGAAACATCGTATTAATGTCTTCAAGCGAGCACAGCCATACGCGCCTTTGTGATCAATTTTAAGAGTAATTTGTTGACATTAATTTTCAATTCATACATGTTTAATCAGCACAATCAGAGTCGATTTTTGTACAATATGGACTAAAATGATATTAGTCATCTCATATACTGAAATGTCATATAATTTACTTATTGTTTAAAAATTCCAAACGCATGCATTTTGCAAAAGTCAAGATTGTCTTGTGCCGAGATTGAAGTTTCTCACGTGCGGCGCCATACGTTCTCTGAAATCCACATATGCAGGAAGTTTTATTTTGGAATTTTGCTGCCAAGAAAAGAAATATATTTTCTAGGCCTAATGCATGGAAACAGATAGATTTAAGACATTTAGTATACACTGAACATGTGCTACAAATCTGAAATTTTGTGAACCATCACATTCACAACTAAGGAGGACCAAGTTTGCAGGCTATCCCACACCCCAAAAGTAGACTTAAGTAGTCATACTCAAATTTCTCTTGCGGTATGCTTGTTCGAGTTGTTGATTAGATATAAGATGAACTCGAAACATCCAACAAAACTTACAGCTGAGAAACCTTTATTATGACTACCTGGTATCTGCTGTCATGACTTTTTTATTTTTAAGAGTGAAACTTGACAAGATCATGAAAAACAAAAATAGCATTGGAGATTTAACACCAAGCTTGTGTAGATTCATACTGACTGTACTGCAAAAATATGTTCTGCCTGTAAAGATTTTTTAAACTATGTTTTCTTCATTTTCTGTGAAGCAATGCATACAAAGGATATGAAAACATTCTATCAACAACTAAGGTTGCGTATGGACGCTGCACGAGTGCCACATCATTTCAAGGATTGTTTAGAATAGTCCACCTACAGAAGAAATTAGAAATGAGGCAGAAGATACTGGGCATTCCAACACACGCAAGATTTTAGCAAGAATCATCACCAACTATCTGGTTGAACATCTCAATACCAGAGAACCATTGTGGCTTCAGATCCAAGATAATTAGCAGGAATATGATGTTCACAGCTAGGATATACCAACAAACCTGCACAAAACCAAACCATGAACTCTTTACAAACTGTCAAAACCTAGCTGTCCAGAGAAGTTAATCAACATCATGAGACCTTAAGTTTCAAAAACATCATCAGATTCATGGAAACACATCAGAAACCTTTCCAGTTAGCAACGCACCAAACTGTGAGATATCATGGCCGCAAGTATTTCTCGTCATTTTTGCTGTAGATAATTCCTCAAGCACTGGAAAATCAGCAGCGAAGCATTCTTGGTTGCATCAAATGGATGAAACCAGGGTACCAAAGGCACCTTTCTATAGAGAGGGTCATGAAGATAAAAGATAGTGGGCAATATAACAATAAAAAGATGTCCTTACAGTAATAAGTCAACCCACAAGGCCTGCAGTATCAATCCCAAAGACTGGGAGACAACAATGGCACATAATTTGCCATAAACAAAAAAGTTTGACAACAACCAAATTGAAGACACAAAGCAGCAACAGTGAGTGTGTAAGAAAGCCGCCTTTGTTCCACCACTACCATGAGGAGACTTTGTGTGTCAGGACAACTGGATTAAGCGGTCAGGACAACTGGGTCGAGTGGTCATGCCCTTATTAGACATCTTAAGCAGAAACACCAAGAGTAAATGTAAATACACAAATACATAGAACAAAAGAGATTCAGTAGTTTCAAAAGAGTTTTGAAAGAGTTTGTTGTCAAGTGTTCTTTTTGTCATGAAGAAACGATGTATGAGCCTCAGGACATGTTAAGTTTACCTTACAGATTGATTGCTTTTTGTAAGGGGCCAGTTGTTCAAACAGCTAGTTTATAAATGTGGAGATACATGTGTTTTTTTTTAAATCTTGTCTACTCTGGATCAATAGAAACTTTGAAATAAACAGATAAATTTGCAGATGCACCCATAGGTTGCCATAATTCAAAATTTAAGTCTACCCGACTGGTATTTCAATGGTTATTGCCACATACCTGACCCAATCAATATAAGGTGTTAAATGTTCACTGACTGAATGTAGCCCAATTATATTTATACCAGAAAAAAAATATTCAAACTTGACAAACTTCCAGGGCAAAGAAAAGATGATTGTGATAATATGTCTGCATAATATATAAACATTTAACACAGAGTTTTATTTAAAGATAAACAGTAGAACCCCTGCTAACTCAAACTCCCCTAATCGTTACCTCAAACAAATTTCATTTTCCCTTGGTTCATTTCATTTTCCCAAATTCACCCAGTTAACTCAAACTGCATTTTTGAGACGTAGATCAGCGAACCTCAAAATGTCAAAACACAGCACATTGACAAGTCAGAAGCTTGGATTTCTATTCAAACAACAACAATGTAATCTGTATATAATATATACAAATGTAATACAAGTCCATAAAGAGATGAAAGATTCAACAAATTGCGTCGATCGTTACTGATCTAGCTTATGTGAACTTTTGGTAGGTACTGTTTACTGTAACTTGGTGTCAATTGTACAAAGTCTGTAAGTTCTTTAGATTGCACCGTAATGGCTCACAATTATGATGAATAATAAAATAACTACACCTTATTAATTATTAACAAAATAAATTAAATGAAACACCAAACCATTAACTTGAACCCCCGCTAACTTGAATTTTTTCGCTTCCCTTGGGAGTTCGAGTTAGCAAGGTTCTACTGTAAATAGTGATTCATGATCATCTAGTGTCACATGGAATTAGGAAAGCAAGTAAAAATTAGGCTATTTGTATTTGGTGAGACTGTTTACTCAGATTAACTGATAAACTCTTGACAGAATACGGCTGTCTTGTTTACTGTAAACACAGAAGAATTATCGGACAAAATATCTTTTCCCATCGGGATAGATCCAGACCTCCCAACTTTACAAATAAAAAATGAGTAACATGCACAACTTATGCATATCATATAGGCACACTCTGCCCTGCCCACGCCACAACAACCCCCCCCCCAAAAAAAAAAAACACCCACACCCTTATTTTGCCATTTTCAGATTTCAAGCCACAAAAGGACAGTCTCCACAATTTAGAAGCCTGTTTAATTGAATTCATAAAATCAAACAGTTAACAGTTCGAGTTCGATCATAAAATTCATTCCCAAAAATAGAAATTGTGATTGAATATATTAAATATATTAGTGTTCTTTATCTTCTGTCGTTTTGGTCAACACAAATGGTCTACATATATGTGCTCTTATAAATGCTGTGCTGAGTGCCTTCGCTCGAAACGTCGAGTTTCTGCTTATTTTTTAAGGTAGTAATATAACCACTCAGCACAGCATTTTCACATTGGTACTACCAACACT